TAGCATTTTAAAGCAGATATTTGCAAAATTGTGGGTGGATTTTCAATTATTGTAATATGTCATCATTGTACATTATGTTTGATATTATTAAATAAATAAATATATTTAATATTATGAATTTTAAATAAATAAAAAATTAATTATTTAAATAATATCATTAATTTGTATAAAAATTTTTATGTGAATCATTTTCTAAAAATTAATGAGATAAGGCAAATGAATGATTATGACCTTTTAATAGGAAACCATAAAGTTAAATGGTAGCTAAAGTGTCATTATCAACAAGGCATAAAGAAACTAATCAAGCATCCAAGTGGAGAATGGAGATCAGGAGATGTCATTTTCTTACAGTGAAAAAAAGGACTTCAATTGATATGCTCAAGAAAAACCAACCAACTGGACTTGACCATATTAAAAATTGCAATATTTTAGGTATAAAATAATGCAGTTAGTTTCAGACAAATGAGATTGTTATGGGTTGGGTGGTGTTACCTTCTTAGGTAGAGAACCTTTGTGGATTGTCCTGTTTTGTCATCTACAGCTGCATCATTTATTTAGAATCGTTTTTACTGTTAATAGGGGAAGGATGCTTGTGCCTTGTCGTCTGTATGTTTTTTTTTTTTTCATTTCTTTTCTTTTTGGGCAAGGTCTTCGTGGCTTAGTGTCCTAGTAATTGATCATGTCCCAAGCCAAAGTGCTTGGTACTTATCCCGGTTCGAAATATTTTAACATTTTGCTCATTAATTAAAATCATATGATATATTTTCACATCATTAATTAGTTAACGATTAAACTATATTTTATGAATTTTATATTGGACAGTAATTGATACACTCATTGGTTCAACATTCGGTTCAACATCCGGTTCAACATCTTTTGATTTAGTCATTAAAAAATAACTATTTTTTAGTCTGAAATTAAAAACAGATAAATATAATGATACAATCATGCACACAGAATACAGGAACCGGTTGAATTGACTGTATTTATATTATATTTGTAATGACTAAACCGAAAAGTATTAAACCGGTGGATGTACCAATCATTTTCCATTTTATATTTTATAATTTAAATTATATTTCATTGTAAAGTATAAAATTTTAAATGGAAGAGATAGTTTCTAATATAAGAGTTATACTCTTATTTGGTAATTTAAATTTTGTAATTTAGATTATGTAACAATTTTTTTTTCTATATATAAATTTTTTTTGAGTTGTTTCATTTAATAGAAAAACATTAATTATCATTCAATATTGTATAAAAACATTACTTTACTTGGAATGTAAAAACCAAAATAACAACCATTAGGATTACTCCTCCCTCAATTCAAGAGTATTCTCCTATATATAGCCGACCTCCAAAGGAAGCTGAACCGGTTAATTTTCAAATGACAGAAGGGTGGAAAGGAGAAGTATGGAACATTCGAGGCTAGCTAGAAGGAGGTCAAAGCAGTTGAGGAAAAATTTTCAAAGAGTTGAAATGCTAAAATAGGGTGTTGTTGGGAAGAAGAGAATAGAGGGGGGGAGTTAGGGGGTTGCCCGTTGCTTACAGAATTTTCTTGGGGAAGGTGAGAGAAAGGTATATGAAGAGCTTTCAAACAAGGACATTCAGAGATATTTGGCTGTACATTCAAGTAACTAAAATACTTTGCGTTTACTGTTTGAAAGCTCTTTCAAACCCTTCTATTTTTTGCTTCATGTATGATACACAGATTATTCTCAAACGGTCCATTTCTCAGTGGCAGATACATGGTGATGTGAGGGAGAAAAGAGACCAAGCTGCTGGGGAGGATTAATTTTCACCTCAACTCACACAAACATATATAGGCAATGTCTTCTCTTGGACCCCTCTAGGATATAACCCAATTCTCTTTGGGTTAAATGTATGGGAATGGTCCCTGAACTTTTTCATTTTGAGTCATTTTTGTCCTTGGACATTTTTTTTGGGTCATGACACAATATTACTTGAAACTTTCTTTTCCGACCCCAAAATGGTCCTTCCATCAGTTACTCCTACGTGCCAAGGTTTACTTAAAGACACTGTTTTAAGCAAATACCAGTAGAGATTTATTATGTATTTCCTTTTTAGAGAATATATTGAATCCAGATGAATTAGGTGTTGATTAATCTTTGTGGACAGGCATCATGTGGTTCTATTGTGGTCATTGTCAAAATTCTTGAGATATCAACTCAAACTTGTTTATGCGCACTTTCCCTCTAATCTTTACTTTAAAACGTTTTCTTTCATGAATCCTTTGATTTAGACACCTCATCTTAATGTTGCAATGTAATATTGGTTTGATCATATCTTGATTAATTTCGACTTTCTAAGTTGTTTTTAATTTTAGATCAAAATTTTTTTTTATTATAATTGTCAAAAGATCATAAACTAATTAGAATGAGTTAATAATTTCATAATTTACTCTGTGTTAATTACATATTTTATAACCATTAATAAAAGAAAATCACCCTAACATACAAGGCTCCGCCCCTAATCAACATTTTTTGGAATTGCAATAACCTAATAAAAAACAAGAATAACATTAAACAAAATGGAAGTCTATTTAATTAGTATACCAACAGAATTCTTCTCAGAAAAAATAATTAATTTATAGCAAATGTAATGGTGGGCCGAGTCGGAATTTTGAGTTTTAATTAGTTTCTCAAACTATGCATTTTTTGAACTTACTTAAGGGAGCTGCAATCTAAATGTTGAAAAGATGGAACAGATTTAAGAACAAAACTATTGGTTACCTATATATATATATATATATTGAAAGGCATGCTGGTTACCAATATTATTAGTACCTAATGAATTAATTCCGGATACGTCGTCATTCTTTCGCAAAAGAAAAGAAAGATAGAAAAAAAAAAAAATTCCTTGAGCTGGTTAACCATGAGAGGGTTGGTCATATTCTATATTAGGGATGAATTTGGTAGAAAAGTCCTTCGAATTCCCAATATGGGTTAAGTTTTTAATTATAAATATACTTACAATTTAGATACTACTACTTTTTAATTTCTACCTAAATTATAAACTAAAGGAAACAAATATAATATAAAACCAAGACTAAACCTAACACACGGGTAAAACTCGTACAAGAAATATCAAAATTTCAGATATTACTACGTCAGCTTCATTAGCAATTCTATCCCCAACTTAGTTATAATTAGCCTATCCTTTAAAAAGAGAGATGAAGAAATCAAACCTCAAAAATCCTTTACACATGAAAGGTTCGGATGGATCAATTGCAAATCAACCCAAAAAAAAAAAAAAAAATTCTTAGATCGAATTTAGACAAATTTCTAGATAGTCTTAGTTAATTGATTAGTTGTTGCTGATGTAATGGGATAAGGTATTTCAATTTTAAGGGCATGGAGAAGGGATTTTCAAGTGTTCAATACTTCAATTTCGTAGGATACAAAATCTCAATCAGTTAAGAAAACATATTGTAATATATTAAAATAAATTTTACATTGTTTATGTTTCAACGTTTGTATTTGACTTGCCATCAGCATGGAGATGGATGTATGGAAAAAGGCAGACGGTTTACCCATACTTTTCTTGATGCTGCCCTCACACGGCATTATTTGCATTAACCCTTAAGATTACACATTGATCCCAAGAAATTTAGTTAAAGGTCCTCTTTCCCTCTCAAGAATTAAGGATTCAACCCAACTGTCATTTATACATGTCCCTTTTCCGCAACTACCTTATGTAAATTTACCACCATGTTGCAGCCATTGGCTCCATCACCTTCCGAGTACTTTTTCAAGAACATACGATCGCAAATTGTGTTTATGTGACAAGCTTATGTTTTGAGATAATTAATTTCCTACATGATCTGATCTATATATTGGCTAGCTGTCATATACTTTATAACAAGAAAGATGTGTAGGTATACACAGTTTCAATTATTGAACAATTTGAGAATTTCCGTCGAGAAGTTGATTGACCTATGCACCGAGAACTAATATGTGATTAAAGCAATTTATCATCTAATTCTAGAAATGATTTGCCCAAAAGAGGCAATTTTGACACCTAAGCCTAATCGTTTTTCATTGAAAATGGTATGTAGAGATATGTAGGTAAGTATCAAGGTAATAAACTGCAGCTGTGAAGGCTCCATATAGCTGGTGCATGTGGGATGCTTTAAAGGGCTTTCCAATTTCTAACATTACCTAATCACCAATTTAAGGCATGACAGCTTTGAATATACCAACTTTTTTGCCACTAATTCATCAACTTGGAGTTATATCTGTTCCAATCCTTCACACAAACAGCTCCAAATAGGAAGCATGATTACCCAAAAATAAATGTTCAATAAATGGAACACTCATATGCACCCATCCAAAATATTGTAGTTCATATCTATTAAGAGGTATAATATGAAAAGTTCTGCTAATACAATTCGTTCCCAGCTAAGCCATGTTAATCTTATTAAGAATTTAGTGATATTATTATGATATTAATGCAAAGTAAATTTCTATTCTAATTTTGGACTAATAGAGATGAATTTAATTTAATACGCACAAACTGATTTAAGATATCATTTAAAACATCCTTAAACCCAAAAAAATTATTAAGAGAGATTGATGCAAAATATTAGATTACAAGTTACAACCCAAGATATTATTTTAGAGCTAAGGAATTGCTACTAATTCAATGAAATAGTTTGCAACAGGAGAGCTGTCCCTTTAAAAAAAAACTTTAAGGTGCCCTAATCCTTAGTTTGATTCTGATTTAACGTAATACCATAACTGAAAAAGGGTAAGATAGAGAATGGAATATTGACCTATATAATGAGAATTTTGATGGCAAGGGTAAAAAAAGGTCAGTAGTTTCTACAGATGCAAAGAGGTTTAATACTTTAATGTCGTGTGAAACCAACAAAAGTGACTTCCCATCCATAACCCTAAACCAACCGCACTTTCTTATTCTGTTGGTGTTCATTTCTTCTTCCCCTATATATCTTCTTCAGGACTTCTCTTTGGTGTACTTTGATGACAAAATTCATTTCTCGCGGCCGCCATCCATGGAAGACTCCGGAGCTGGTTCCAGCGATGATGCCAAGAGTACTTCTTGCCCTAGAGGACACTGGAGGCCTGCCGAGGATGAAAAACTCCGGCAACTAGTTGAAGAGTATGGTGCTCAAAACTGGAACTCCATTGCAGAAAAGCTCCAAGGACGATCAGGTAAATAAATCTTCCATCCCTGCCCCCTTAATTCTTTAATAAACACATATTTCTAGTGTTATTCTCGGTTAATTGTAGATCCGATGCACTAGTACTGGTATCTAACCACACATATAGTATCTGATTTTTATCAAACTCTTGAATTTATATTTTCTACAGGGAAGAGTTGCAGATTGAGGTGGTTTAATCAACTCGACCCGAGAATCAACCGGAGGCCTTTTACTGAGGAGGAAGAAGAAAGGCTGCTAGCTGCTCACCGGATTCATGGAAACAAGTGGGCGCTGATTGCTAGACTGTTCCCGGGTCGGACGGATAATGCGGTGAAGAATCATTGGCATGTAATAATGGCTAGAAAACAAAGGGAACAATCCAAGTTGTGTGGGAAGAGAAGTTATCAAGGTAGCCTCAATGACTCCAGTAACAGGTCTAATGTTTTTAATGCAAGGAAATTAAGATCTCAAGAGGGTTTTAGCACCATGTTTGGGTTTGGGAATAGTAGGTTCTTTGAATTCCAAAACCCCAATATTAAAGATATGAACAATATTTTCTCGGTCTCTGCTTCAACTTCTTCCACCTCTTGGACTTTTGCTTCAAGTAATAATGCAACTGCAGGAGCAGCAAACTTATGGAGAAGAGAAGGAAAAGATTATAACTTATTGAACACTTCGGGTTCGAAGTATAATTACCCTGTGGAGAATTCAAGAAGTTTTCTAGATCAGAGTAATTCCCTTTTCAGATATCATTTGCAGGATGGCTCAGCGTATAGGAATCCAAATACAGGTGTTTCTGCAGAAAACAGGAGGATGGTTTCGAGTCCATTTGGGTTTCTTAAACTTGGGGATAATTATAATTGTGAACAGGATGGAATGACGAAGAATAAGGAGGTGATGAACTTGGGGATTGTTTCTCCTTCATTAGGAAAGGAGAAAGAAGATGAATCTACGAAGCAAAATGGTGTTCGCTTCATTGATTTTCTTGGTGTGCATCAAGAAAATCTATGAAGCAAACACCATTTTGTTTCATGGACTCATCTTCTTTCTCCTTCCCTAATCAAGGAGTATCCCCAAGTTCATCACCTTCTTATTCTTTATCAATATTCATTCCATTCCCTTCACTATTTTAATTATCCCAAAGTTTAATTAAGAAACCTGAATGGATATGTATTAATATCGGACAAAATGTCTTTTTAATATATGCTTATGTATTAGTTTTAGCTTTGCTAATTCCATTTTATATAATTCCCATTTATCATCTTTATATATATATATGCATGCATGTTAACTTGTTGATGAATTGCTTAAACATATATAATTAATTTGGACAAAGCATTTTTATTTCATTGCTCTAGGATGTATGTATATCATTCATCACTCAAATTTAATTAATTTTTCTCTTATTGTTGCATGCTAATCAATTCATTGAGAAGTGCTATATGGTTTAGTATACAAATTGAAGTGTATGTGGGTGATTGGAAGAACAAAAGAGTAGTTGTAATGGGTACAGGCATGATAATTAAGTTTGTGTTCAATTTGAGGAATGGTACTGTGAGGCAGCAGCTCTAGCTCAAACCTTAATTTGGACGTAATGACATTTTCCAAAATTTGCCAGGAGCAGGTGTAACTGCTTTATCTTTTCATACAGTCGTTTTAGGAATATATAGCAAAACATACTTTTCAGTGTTGTTAAGAACTCCAGTTGGTCTTTTCGAAGAGAAACTACTGAGGCAATTTTTTTTAAAAAAAAATATTAATAATCACAGAGAGCCAAATGAGTAAAAAGGCTAGGTCCAGGGTATACTTCATTAATGGTTCTATAGGTTGAAGATTCCTTGTCTCTCTCATCAAACAGGCATACTGAATCCCTCCCGTCTGTTTCACCCATCACTTTTTTAACACAAATTTAATTAAATATTATTTTAGAGTTTTTATTTTGTACATTAAACTATATAAAGGAAACAACCTCTAATATTAAGAACATATTTTCATCTAATGATATAAGTATTATATAATTTTAGTATAATTTAGATTATATAATTTTTTTTTTTTTTGTTCTTGTTTGAGAGTAATTTAAATAATTTTCTTCAAACTTTGAAGTTGGAAATGGAAAATAAGACCCAAAATTATTCACTTGCACGTTTAGAAATTGTAAGTGAATTCATGCAAGCAAGAGAGATGATTTCATGTTTCTACGTATAACGTGCTCTTTTTTTCTTTTCTTTTTTGTTCCATTCTTTTTATTTTATTGGTGTACGTTCATGTAGTTACCACGTGCGTGCTTTGAGAAGACTTCAGCTGCTCCCACAGGGTAATTATGGAAGAGAATGGATTTTCAACTGCACAAGCAACAATATTAGCCCCAAAATTTCAGGACCTAACCTTTTGCGTTTGCCAGAGAGCCAACGACCATAGCACGTACAAGTTTTTAATAATTGTTGGTGTTCATGACTTCTTGTTCCTCCATTTTTGTTTGGTCAAGTATGAGAATAAAGTCTTCATTAAAAATCAGGACAGATTAATTAATTAATTAATTAGTTGATTCAATCATTAAAAAATTCATTAACTGCATTTCTTAAAAAAAATAAAAAGATTAGTTTTTTCAATCTCTGACTAAAAATTATATTAATGATCAAAATGTCAATAATAACTCTCTATGTATAATAATAAAGATTTTTATTTTATTATTTGAATTATAAAATATAAATTATTAGGCGAGAAAGATCTTTTAATAATAAATATTATATAATTTAAATTATACCATACTTTTTTTATTATAATAACCAATGACTAGAGTAACAACTAATAATAACTGGGTCTCTGTGTAACCAAAGCAGATAAATGCACCATATTACAACCCAAAAGAGAAAAACTCATTGTACCTTGAAAGGTGCTAACATGATTAATTGAATAATGGAGATATTTTATTTTATGCACATCAGGCCAAGACCTAATAGGTTTCTCGGCCGACAAGGCCCAATAGCCTGATTCTTCCATTTCTTCTGCTTATGAGCAGAGTTTGCCTCAGCATAAAGAGCTACCAAGCACAAATAAGAGTTTAATTGAATTAATATTAATCAATTTGAAATTTTTAATTTAGGATTAAGGGTTAGAGGATTCAAATATCTCTGTAATTAAGTAACTAAATCTTTGATTAAAAAAAAAAGAAAAAGCAGCTACCAGGCAACTTCAAGGAATTCAGTTTTTGCCTCTGAATCAAGTCTTCGGTCAAACTAACCGGCAAAATGGAATTACATATCTTCTAATTCGGCTGCAGATATTGAATAGACTGTTAAAAAAAAATGCTGAAATTTTATGCCACTTGTAAGACAAGGATATGCAAATAAATTCTAAAATGCTTTATCTTAGCTCGTCAAGTGGAGGAATGATACGGATATGCCATTTCAATATCCCATATTCAAGTTTCCACCAGGACTTCTTCAATACAAATCCTTAAATAAGTGTATTCAGCCACCCCATAAATTGAATCATCTGCATAAAGAAAAGCCTTCGATCCTCCACTAGAAAATACCTAGTCAATTCTTTTAGAATTTAAAATAACATATTTAACATGCAAATTTGTATAAGTTCAATAGCTGCATACACTCGAAGTGATAAGACAGTTAACCTGCACTTTAACTGATAAAAAGAGAACATATGAGAGTCATGGAACCTATTATCCTTTTCCCCTTGCTATTCTTGACATTCTCCCACCATTCAACAGCAAATGCCTGCTATGAAGCTGAAAGAGAGTTACTGTTGAGTTTCAAATCTCATCTTTTAGACCCTTCAAATCGACTGTCTTCATGGCAAGGCCAGAACTGCTGCAGTTGACATGGAATCCGTTGTTCAGATTCACTGCATGTCACAACACTTGACCTTCGGAACCCCAATCCAGAAAGGCTTATAATTAACAGAAATTCAGAACTAGTTTCCACTTCTGGCTCCAATTTTGCTGCCATCACTGGTACCATCCCTCTTTCTCTCTTTTCCCTTACTCATATCAGCTACCTTGATCTGAGCTTCAATAACTTCACTTTTTCAAAGATACCAAATGCATTAGCAAATCTTACTGCACTCACTTTCCTCAATCTCTCAAATGCCATGTTCAGTGGTTCTCTCACAACTCAGTTTTCAAACCTCACTTCCCCCGGGTGTTAGACCTTTCATGCTCTTTCACCGTGATTGATTACTCAACAATTTCTTCTGACTTGTCTTCCTCAGTAACATTTCGTGTTGGATATTTTCACACACAAATATATATATGGGTAGTCTTTCTGTTCGGTTATCTCTCAAAGAAATGGAGAGAGACGTTGAAGAGCTGAAAACAAGTTTCCATTTCAGTTTTCCAGCATTTGTACATCATCAAAAAATACAAGCTAAGGAGCTCTTTTACAACAATATTTTATCATCAAAATAATACACATTATCACATGGCTCCAACTAGAAATATGACTAGAAAAGGACACAAAACAGTTTGGTTAGTTTCAATTTAACCAAACTGAACTTGGGCAGCTTGATGGCACTGATATACTGCTACTGCCACCTAAGCTACTTCACGTAACTTCCATCACTCCTCCTTGACATCAAGGCTGCACATTCCAACTTGTTCTCTTAGTAGCTCGAACCTGGATTTTTGTAACCCCTTTGTAAAAATGTCAGCTATCTGGTCCTCTGAACTGCAGTGAATTAATTGAATTTCATTATCATGTTCAGCTTCTCTCGATGTACAAATGCTGGAAAACTGAAATGGAAACTTGATTTCAGCTCTTCAACGTCTCTCTCTATTTCTTTGAGAAATAACCGAACATCAAATTGATGATGTGCCTGTCAGGGGTACTAGAACACTTGAAGATGTTTATAACAGATGCAATGCGGCCATTACAGAACCCTCATGTTTGCAGGACGCAATGAATTCAGAAGAATTTACAGAACCCTCATGTTTGCAGGACGCAATGAATTCAGAAGAATTTACAGAACCCTCATGTTTGCAGGACGCAATGAATTCAGAAGAATGGAAGATTGCAATGCAGGAGGAGTTGAACATGTTTGAGAAAATGCAACATGGAAGTTGGCTGATAGGCCTACCAATAAGAATGTTATAGGGGTCAAATGGGTGTATAAAGTGAAGTTAAACTCAGATGGCTCCTTGAACAAGTGCAAGGCAAGATTGGTAGTCAAGGGATACTCACAACTTGCTGGTATTGACTTTACAGAAACATTTGCTCCTGTTGCCAGATTTGATACAATCAGATTGTTGTTTGCAATGGCTGCTCAGAAAAGTTGGCTTATTTACCAACTGGATGTGAAGTCAGCTTTCCTAAATGGAGAGTTGAAAGAGGAGATATATGTTGAGCAACCTGATGGGTATGTGGAAAAAGGAGGAGAACATAAAGTTTATTTGCTGAAAAAGGCTTTATATGGCCTGAAGCAGGCCACGAGGGCATGGTATGGCAAAATAGATAATCATTTGCTCTGATACCATGTTCAAATTTTTTATCAAAGAAAATGGAGAGAATTTCGGGAGACAAAGATGAAGAGCAAAACACATAAAATGGAGTTGGAGTATATCACTCCAACTCCATTTTATGTGTTTTGCTCTTCATCTTTGTCTCCCGAAATTCTCTCCATTTTCTTTGATAAAAAATTTGAACACTTTCTTCCTCAAATTTGAATTGGTTGCAGAAGTTTAATAATCTCAGAATTCTCATACTGAATGGTGTCAATCTGTCAGAGGTGCCTTTGTCACCTATATCAAATCTCTGGAACCTCAGGATGCTTCAGCTGTCCAATTGCCAAATTTCTGGCAGGATTCCTGTCAAGCAGCTGCTCAATCTGACTCGTCTCTCATATTTGAGTATGGGTTTTAATTTTCTCAGAACACAAATCCCACCTGAGTTGGCAAATCTCACCTCTCTCTCTGT